CCCCCCCCCAGCGTCATCCATAATTTATGATCTGCACAGTTGAATGGCTTGACGCAGGAAGACACAGGTAAGCATCTTTCTGATCTCTGGTTAGCAAAGATGTCCCTAGGTCAAGTCCTTTTCCGAATCCTGCTCGAAGGTCTAGCAATCCCCTGCGGATGGACTGCTGCAACTGTGTTTGAATTATCTTTGTGATAATGGCCAGAAACGGAATATTTCGTAATATTTCACCTGAGGGCAGTGCAGGAAAACTTTGAAAACAGTCGTTTGGGTATTGTCTAACAGCGTCACCTGGTGCCGTCCCCACTTTTGCAAACCCCTAGTTGGTGACACTCATCTGCTCTATTTGTTTCCCTCCTTCCTGTGGCACAATCCAGGAGCCCTGGTGGTTAGTGCTTGTGCTCTGGGCTGCCAGCCACAAGGTCAGCAGTTTGAAACCACCGGCTGCTCCAAGGGAGAAAGACAGAGGCTTTCCACTCCCTAAAGAGTTACAGTCTCAGAAACTTGCAGGGGTAGTTTCCACCGTGTCCCCTAGGGTCACCATGAGTCAACGTGGACTCGATGGCCAAAGGTTGAGTTTTTTAGGGGAGGATTTAAAAATCCACAATTAGCTGGCCAATGGGACTTGTGAAGAATAACCCAATCAGAATATTCTGTAAGTAACTTAAGCCAAATAAAGAAAGCAATTATCGTTGACCAAACAAGATGACCATAACCTGAAGATTTTTGTCCTTTCATTGTCTTTTATTTTTTGCACCCACCACCACCCGCCCTCTACACCAGCCACAACCCACCACTGGGAATGGAAGGTTGACTGTTGCAAGGCCGTCAGGTGGATGGAGAGGGTCAACCTCCTCCGTTCTTCCTCTGCTACACATTGAGAGTGTGTCTTGTCAGTTTTACCTAAGACACCAGGAGATCCCAGGGCAGGTGAAATGTGTGTTTTGTTTGACGTGTCCCTGGCAAATAGAACATTTGAATTCTCCTCGTAAGTGTCTTCTTTCCATTAGTAATGTATAATTGAACATTAAAAGAAATCACCCATGTCTTGAACAAATCTTGTACCAGTCTCTCATAAGTTAAATTTTAAAAATAGATGGTATTAAAATATTTGCTTTATTAACTACACATATAGGAAAGCATGAAATATACCCCAGACATTACTCATAAAAAATACGTGTAGCAAGAACCTTTTTAAAGATGGGCAGAACATTTTCTAGCCACTTGCTAGCAGAGGAAGACCTTATTTTTTTTTTAATCTCACAAGTAAGGAACCTTGTCATATACCGTCTCTTCCCACATTAAATTAATCTCTCCCTCATATAATACATGCCGCTAGTCTGTAGTGGTGGGTGTGTGTGTGTGTGTGTGTGTGTGTGTGTGTCTATTTCCAAGTCACTGTGGTTTTCCCATGCTACTCAACAGGAAAGTTGCTGGCAATACATACTCCTGTCCAGTGTCCCCTGGCACAGCCCATGTAACAGAGGACACCAGAATCTCAAAGTCTTATGGAAACCATGTTTAATGTGTGTCCACCATCATCCTCGATGTTCTGCCCCCAGAAGAAATTACATTCTTGTCAGAACGTCCATCCTTTATGCCTCCTTTCCTTTGAAAAATGTCAAGAGATCACTCACTAGGGAGTTTCTTAAGCGATTGATGAACTGCTTATCCTGCGCCTTCAACTAAGAGAACTCTCGACTGCTCCTATAGACACGTCTCTTGCTCTTTATCAGACTGGCCTTACGCTTAAACTGATCTTTCACAACTTTGTTTAAGAAAACCATAGTACCTTATGAACGTGAATCTTAGGTTTACAGAAACACCATGCTTCTGTTAGTAGCTTATTTAATTGGCTTCAGATTCGCTTTACATATTTAAGTTTATGCACAAGTTGACTAGAGGGAGAGTTATAAATTTAAACCTTTCATTGTGATGGGGGTAGAAAGTGTATTACAATTCTTCTTTCCTGTGAACAGGAAGCATAAATACCAGTATTCAGAGAAAAGTCAGCTGACGGGCGAAGTTACAATGAAGCGTGGACACATTCATTTCACTTGACTGGTACACTCAGGTGGATGCAAATGCCTGGGGGGGATGCTCACTGTTGTGGGCATGTTTCTTATTCATTGCGCTTTCTTGGCGTTGGAGATTAGATGACGCACACTCGGGACTGTATTTGGAAGCGGGCGGAATTCATAAAGTCTCCGTGCTTTCCTGGGCTGGAGTTCCCCGTTTGGCTTTAGACACTTCCAAATCACTGTGCTCTTTTAGGGGGATGTTCAGTTTCTTACATAAGGTCTTTCGAAATGGCTGGCAGAGAAAGAAATAAATAATGGGGTCCAGGCACACGTTGGCAGCGGACAGTAGCAGAGTGAACTCTTTCACGTAGAGCAGGGTTTCCTTTGACTGGCAGCTGTAATGGTCTTCTATCTGACTCTTGGTGTAAGGGATCCTGGCCACATGGTAAGGCACAAAGCAGACGAAAAAAACAAACACAATGCTGAATATGTTGCGGCTAGATTTCCTCGTGACCGAAATAGATTTCCTCCCGGACTTCAGCTGGGACTTGAAGATTTTCCTCGTGATGGCCGTGTAGAAGACGATGAGCAGGAGAAACACGATCCAGAAAATGCCCACGAAGATGTAATTGGACGCTTGGTGCCACTTCTGCCCCAGCGGGCTCTTCAGCTCCATGCACTTGATCTGCGCCACCTCCTTCGGACTCTGGTTGGTCAGGATCATGTTCGGGACGGCGAGAAAGAGGATCAGCAGCCACACCATCAGGGAGAGGGCTTTACTGTAATTCAGAGACTGGATAAACGGAGCCACGAGAGGCTTGACGATTTTGTAATACCTGTCGAAGCTGATGAGCCCAAAGAACAGGATGCTGACGTACATGTTGATGTAGAAGAATACCGCGGAAACCCGGCACACGAACACGTTCAGCTGCCAGGGGCCGCGGCCCACGTCGTTAAAGATCTTGAACGGGAAAGTCAGGCTCATGAGGAAGTCCGCCACCACAATGTTCTTGAGGTAGACGATGAAGCTCTTGGTGCTGGGCACGTGGAAGAATATCCATCCCGAGACTCCGTTGAGCACGATGCCCGTGATGAAGACCACGCAGTACAGGCCAGGGATGATGTACTGAGTGATGGTCGTGTTCCTTGGGCAGAGCTCCTCCACAGGGGCCGTGGGCGTAGAATTCATCATGTCGTTTCTGAAGGCGGAGGCCTGGAAAGAGATTTGGACCAGTCAGTCCCAGCACACGTACAGGCGCCAGGTCATTGCAGAACGATAAGATGAAGGTATCTCAGTATCTCAAAGGCACCAGGTTCTCCAAGCGACATTTCTACTCTTAAGTTAGGTACCTGTTTTTTGTTTGTTTTAATCTGCATGTGAATCAAATACATGAAAATGAAAGGCGAGAGAGATGACAAGCAAGGCGCGTTGGGGGAGTAAGGCAAGATGAGAGAGCAGCTTTCCTTGTAAAGGATTCCCTGTAAGGCGCCAAAGCTCCAGGAAATACTTTCTTTCTCCTAGAAGATCTTTTATGGCTGTACGCAAATGAGTCCCAGGTGTTGGCAGATGTTCCTTAGGCTCCATTGCATTTCATGGATTGATACAGAGCTCTCTTTTGAAAACGCCTCCTTATGTACTCGGGGTGTAGAGCTATGTCTTGTAAGCATGTACGTCCAATTGTTAATCCATCCTTCTGGTACAGAACCATAAATGGCTTTAAAACTCTGCTTCCCCCCCGCCCCCTTTTAATTTGAAAAACTAATCTGCCTGATGTTTATAAATTAGAGCAGAAATAGAACCATGATCAAGATAGCATAAATGCCTCTCAAAATGTGTGCTAGAGCTACACTGCCTAATACATACAGACGGTGGAAACCACTCGCGTGTGGCTGTGGAGCACTTGAAATTTGGCTAGTACAGCTGTGCGGTTTGACTGTGAAGGCCACGGATTCATTCTGATCTTTGCACAAGTGCACTTGCATCTCAGGTGGTCAGCATTAGGTACTTCCACAGTATTGTAGCCCAAGGACTCTCAATTTGGGTAGAATTTAGCTGTCAGTGGGTTATAAAGCAAAGTTATTTCCAGAAATAATTCATCTTAGCGCAACATGTTTCGTAGGCCTGGCATTACTTCTTGTCTGTGTAACTCTGCACACCGGCCCATATTTCTCTTACGTGGAAAACGCAACACAGCCTGTGCCATACGTTGGGTGCACTGTGAGTCTTGCGTGCTTGGAAGAAGAGAGGAAAGGGTTCCCCCCCCCAGTATATGGGTGAAATTAACCAGGCCCTTGGATAATACTTGATAATTTTAGAAAAATTACCTTTTAAAAATTCTCGTGTTGTGTGGCTCTCTCCAGTGAAGTAATTCAGCTCAGTGAGCACTTGACATCTGGACGTGGCCAAAGCATTTCTGAACTCAAGATCCTGGATTACAGGAGAAAAAGGAAGGATTGATTAAGCCAAATGGACAGCTGACTGTTTTTATTGAAGGGGTCTCTCTGGTAGCAGTGAGTTTCCTCTTTTATTTAGGGTGTCTAATTGTGAAGAATTTCAGCATGCGCGTCTGATTTATGTACTGTTTTGGATCTTAGTTGGGCTTTTTAAAAATCACTTTACCAGGGTTCTTACAGCTCTTATAAAAATCCATGCATCCATTGTGTCAAGCACATTTGTACATAGGTTGCCATCATCCTTTTCAGAACATTTTCTTTCTACTTGAGCCCTTGGTGTCAGCTCCTAATTTTTTCTCTCTCCTTCCCCAGATCTTCATTGTTTTTGTTGACGATTGATGTGGTAACTAACCATATTGGGAAACACAAAATCCTTACTTAAGGGGATTGGGCATGAATTATCCGACCTCCCCAAAACTAGATGCTCAAATGACTTCATTACATAACTCACTTGGGGACATGGTTAATTTAGCTGGGAAGTCATAGGTTTGATTCACCATTTTTTAACCCTAATACTAATGATATTTGGGGAGGCCACATCAATCTTGTTGTGGGGGGCTGTTCTGTGCATTCTGGGATGTTCAGCAACATCTCTGATTCTACTTAGTAGGTTCCAGTACCATGGCCTCTCCCCACCTCATCCCTGTCCCCACTTATAGTAATAAAAAAATGACATTGCCAAATCTTTCCTGGAAGGGAGGGGGTCAAACCGCCCCTGGTTGAGAAGTGCAGGTCTACTGAGACTGATGGGTGGCATTCCACAGTCTTCAGGCCAGGCACAAGGATAGCAGTTGGGCAGTCAGCTGGAGCTCTGCCTCTGTGGCTTGCCCCCTTTCCAAATGTAGTAAGCCGAGCATCCCAAACTGCCTGTACACATCACCTGAGGGTTTTGTAAAAATTAAAGACTCAGATGCCATAGGTGTTTGGTTGACCTGGATGCTGCTGATTATAGGAGCCCTGGTGGTGTAGTGGTTATGCATTGAGCTGGGGTCCACAGGGTCACCAGTTCAAAACCACCAGCAGAGAAAGACTGGGCTCTCTGCTTTCATGAACAGTGACAGTCTTGGAAGCCCACAGGGGCTCTCACTGTGAGTCAGTACTGACTCTGTGGCAGTGGATTTTTACAAGTGAGATCTGTGGACGGCTTTTTGGATGGCATGGGTTTCTTTTGTAGATCCTGCACACTGGAGGGATTTGATAAATATTTGGTAAAGTGAGTGAAAATCCTGGCTTATGTTGCTGTCTTTGAACCACGAGCAGGAAAACCGCATGTTCTAGGTAACCCTGAAATCTAGGATCTTTACCAGAGTGCATTCCTTAGAGATCCCCTCAGAATTATCCCGTCTCTGGGGTCTCTTGGGAATCTCAGCAGATGTGTTCAGATTGACACGGCGTATCTGGCAGAACGAATGCTGGTGTATGAGGCCAGAGGAATGCTGGCAGTGGTGGTTGAGGGGATGGGTACCCTGCGAGCCTCTGCTTCTCCGTGGTTTGGCAGTTATATAGTGTTCTGACCCGGCCCTTGTGTCTTGGCATTGTCATCCATCATCTTGTGACCCGATGTGGTCGTCCTCCATTTTCGCACAATGATGAATCTTGCGTGATGACCTGGTCTTTGGCACCTGCCCATCTTGGTAAATGAGATAGTTAACGTTTATTGTGCCAACATGGCCGATGAACACGTGGGATTAATTGAAGCGTGGAGAGATAAATGTCTCGGAGAGCCTCCCCTCTCTTGTCTCTTGCTCTTTGATCATCAGACCAGTGTGCGGCTGCCTTGCTTGTTCTCTCCCTCAATTTGCAAGCTATACTACCTGTGGGACACATAACCCGTGGACTGTGTCGCTGTAATTTGAGGTTCCTTTAAGAACTGCTTCACCACACCATTGGAATTTACATCTCGAGCTGGGGACTGTCAGACCCTGTCATCTAGCTGACTGTTGGTGACCTGCCTTGCTGTTTGCTGCCTGTGTCCGGATAGCCTGAATTGCTCTACAGAGGACTACCCGGCAGCCCTCAAGACTTGAAGGACTGCCAGTGTCTCACAACTGTCTCACGGGAGTGAGTTGCACGGAGCCATTTGTACTGCTTTATAATTTAATTAACTGTCTATTTCTTATGTTATATATCTATCTATCTGTATAAATATGTATAAAATTACTAGCGTTCTGGTTTTGTCTCTCTAGAGAACCCTGTCTAACACAGTAAACGAGGAGTGGGCGTCCTTCACTTAATGTGTCCTTGTGATGTGGTGGTTAAGCGCTGCCCCCCTGCTAGGTGGAGGTCCGGCAGTCTGTATCCATCAGCCTTCCTACAAGAGAAGGACGCAGCAGTCTGCTTCATGGTGTTATTTAATTCAGAGCCGGCTGCTGGCTCTTTCCATCCCATGGCTGGCGACAGTATTTCTGAACTTCTCCCGCTCTGAGTTTGGACCTGCAGAACGGTGACTCCTCAGAGAACCCGTTTCTGTCTCATCAGCCCCAGCTCCGGGCAGCCGCGTGTGCCGCGGAGAGCTGCGCTCTGCTGCCCTGTCTCCACTGGCGCTCTCCTTGGGGAGGGCGGGGTTCAAGCCTTTCTTCCAGGATGCCTCAGGGTGGACGTGACCCTCCAGATTTTCATGCACTGTCTGCGCCACCTAGAGACTTAATCGCTGGCTGAATGCAGAGCCTCGTCTTTCTCGGGCCCAGCACCACCCAGGAGGACGTGACCACGGACATTCCAGTGCACGCCCAGAGCCTGTTGTTGACCAGGCAGCCCTTAATTTGCAGAAACCCTACTGCTCCGCTCACTCTCAGATTCTCACAGTCACTGTCCCCGCCCCCCTGCTGTGCTCACCCCATGACGCCCTTGCTGACCTAAACCCTCTCTAGCTCCAGCTGGTGGGAAACTCGTTCCCTCCATCCGCTGGCCTTCTCTACACTCCCCGCACTTACTTATCTGAGACCGCCGCCGCCCTGACTTCCGAGCTGTTTCTCATTGACCTGCGCCCCAATCTCTTGGTAGCATGAATGTGATTTGTTTCCCCTGGTTGAATCTTTTCCTCCTCAGATGTGTGGTGGCCCTCTGGCTCTTGCATCTCTCTCTTAGCTCTCTACCCAGAACCTGGGTCCGTGGGCTCACCAAATCCTTCAGAACCCCTTTGCTAAGTCCTGTGCAAGCCCCTCAGCCACAGGGGGTATGCAGGAAGTGTGTCCAGTCCCGGGGAAGGAAGGATGACTAGAGCTGTACCCCTAGAATGGGACATGGAGGCACAGAAACAGCAAACGCTGAATCGGGGCTCAGGAATGGTGGCATCTAGCTGGGCTTTTTGATGTACGTGGCAGAGAAGGTTGACAAATTAGCGAGCTTTGGGCAGGCAGATAAAGAGGCGGGGGCTGGGGGGGGGCGCGTAAAGAGCAAATTCTTGGCCGAGGGACCTGGCGGGGGTGACTGCCCAGTGTCCTGGCTAACATGCTAGAGCCTTGATGTCCACCCACTCCAGTGAATGGATTCCCACACACCATGCCCCTCCAGGACGGAGCCACACTGCTGTTGACGGTTTCCAAGACGGTGAATCTTTGTGTGAACAGCTAGACTCCTCGTTCTCTCCAGGTGGGTCTGGTGGATTTGAACTGCCCACCTCATGGTTAGCAGCACAATGCTTGACCTATAGCACCGGCGGGGCTTCCTAGAGCCTTGCTAATGAGATGGTACTGCGGTTTTACAAATGAAGAAAATGGAGTGCCAGGTGACAAAGCAACTCATTGGAGATCTAGGACGGCCAGTCCATGGCCACTTGCTAATCACACGGCGGCCCACGCCTCTACTGCCGGGGACGTGTGCTGTGTAAGCTTCAGCAGGTATGTGTGCCTGTCCGCGTTTCATGGGAGCCACGTCTCTGGGAGCAGCCTGTTCGCACTTCTTTTTTGTTTGGTCATGTCCTCGTTTTTCCGTCTGTACTGTGACAAGGAGTGTGTGTGTGTGTGTGTGTGCGTGTGTGTGTGTGTGTGTGCATGTGCATACGTGCGTGCCTTCACCTTGCTCCTATATTCGCCTTCCAGATACCATAGCCCAGAGAACTTAACTTTGGACTTGCCTAGGGTCGGCAAGTATCGATAGCTGCTGTGTCTGTCCTCACTTTGACGTTGACTCAGCTTTCTGGCTCCTGCACTGATGGCCCAAGAGAAAGGATTGACGAGGAATTGAACTGCTCACGGCAATGATTAAAACGCCTAATGCGTCACCTGCAAGCAGTCGGGACGCTGATGCACGGGGCCCAGGGCACGAGGAAGGTCCTGCTTGCTGCTGCTACCCCCCCTTCGGCAGGACCAGAACCAGTTGCCCTCTTTGTGTCCGGCGCATGGTGACATCATACGTAGGCACTTTTGATTAGACAAGTGCTTCTCAACCCACTTAATGCTGCTACCCTTTCATACAGTTCCTCGTGTTGTGCTGACCCCCCAACCATAAAGTTATTTCCATTGCTACTTCATCACTGTCATTTTGCTACTCATAGGAATCGGGCAACCCCTGTGAAAGGGTCATTTGACGACCCCCAAAGGGATCGCGACCCACAGGTTGAGAACCACTGGATTAGACCAAGCCCTTCCTTTCACAGCGATACCGTCAGTTAGCGTTGGACTGTTCACTGCAAGGTTGGCGGTTGAAACCCACCAGCTGTTTTGTGGGAGACAGGCAGCATGTTCCCATGAGATTTCCGGTCCCGGAAACCCTAGATTGGGTTGCTTTGAGTACACACCAACGCGACGCATGGGCTTGGGATAAGAAGTTCCCAGCCCCCGTGATGCAGGCAGCTCACATTCTGTTAGAGCCTGGGTCACTGACACACACGTGTCT